AGTTTTAAATTTCATTGGTTTTCGTTAAAAGATTAAAGTTTGAAAAGTTAATGTGACACCTCAGACTTGTATCCGGGTCGGATACAGGTTGAGGGTGTTACAGTATCAATATTGTACATATGGTACCAATACCAAAGGTAAGAGAAGTATCGATACTCACTAGGTAGTATCGATACTACAACATTGCTCAAATTCCAGAATGCAAAAATGGTACCGATACCCAAAGGGGTACCAATACTACTTTACACAGTAGTATCGATACCGTTAGGCCCAAACGTTAGTTAATGGCTAGTTTCATTTAAAAATATAAAGGAAGTACCGATACTCCCTATAGGAGTATCGATACCCTATGTTAGGGCAGTTTTGTTTTGCAGAGAAAAACATCCCTAATGGCTTTAAAAGACTCCCAACGGCTAGAAACGACCACAACTTCATTACAACATATAAATACAAGTTCAAGACACTTGAAGAAGGGTTAGAACACCTATCCTAGCATTCAAACACAATAGAAGAGTTTTTCATTCCTATTTTACTTTCTCTTGTAAATATTTTGTTCTTGTGAGCTAAATTTTGTAAACACCTTCCTTTTTAGAGGTTTTTTTGTTTACATTTGTTTTCCTTGTAAAGGGGTTTTGGTTCTAGCTAAGCCTTTGAAAAGCTAGGGAGTCTTGTAAATGTTATCTCTTTGTCATTGAAAAAGAAAGAACAAATTAGTGAATTTGTTAGAAATCCTTAGTGAGGAATTAAGGTAGTGGAGGTAGACTTAGTTGAGAAGTCGAACCATTATAAATCGTTGTGCCAAATTTTTGATCATTTACTCTCCTTACTCTCTAAACAAAATTTTGCTAATTTACCCCATTGTGCAATTTTTGGTTGATCAATTTGAGCCTTTTAGAAAATCCTAACAATTAGTATCAGAGCTTATCTCTTTAGAAGGTTTAACCACCTTGAGAAGATCCTTGAAGAAGCTCTACCGATTTCTAAAGCAACCGAGAAGATGACTTCCACCTCCGACTCATTCTACATGGAAGACTCCCAACCGATCAATAAGCCTCCGCATTTCAATGGAACAAACTACCATCATTGGAAGAAAGTAATGAAGTTATTCATCCAATCCAATGATCTTGATGCATGAGAGATGATCGAGAACGAATACTCTTCTCCAATGAAGAAGACGAAGAAGTGGAGTGACAAAAAACGGAAGAAAGCTCAACAAAATGCCAAGGCCATGCACATGGTGTTTTGTGCGTTTGGTCCTGATATCTATGAAGGAGTTTTTTCTTGTTCAAATTCCAAGGAGCTTTGGAATAAGCTCGAGGAAATCTATAGAGACAAGAAAGAAGAACCAACAAAGGCGGTGTCTCTAATGGCTCATGAAGAGCCCAAGGTATCTTCTAACTCAAGTGAATCAAATTCTTATTCTTTTAATGAATTACAAGATGCATACGATGAATTATTTTCGGAGTTTGAGACCATGAAATCCAAATACAAGAGATTGATTTCCAAATTTAAAGTTGAAAATGACTTTCTTTTGAAAGCAAAAATGGATTTTGAAAATCAAAATGAAAGTTTGAAAAATGATTTAGAGCTTTCAAAAATGAAAATGAATTTTTTTTGAAAAAGAATGTTTTGATTTAAAAGTTAAGCTTGAATGCTTAACAAAAAAAAAAAAGAAAATCATTTTAAATAATTCATCTAGTTCCATAATGACAAAATGTTCACATTGTCATTATCATGGTCACAAGGAACATACTTGTCATTTGAAGGATGGAAAACGTTTTCAAATCATACAAGTATGGGTCCTGAAAGGAACAAGGGACACTGAAACTAATGTTCAATTATCCAAAGAAATTTGGATACCAAAATCAACTTAAATGTCTCTTGTAGATGTGTGAGAGAATTGGTGATGAAAGGGACGATACTCAAATGCTCTAGCCATACTTGAAAAAGGAATGGGTAACCTCTAAGCTTAAAAGCTTTTTGATTTTGCATAATAGGTTGCTCATTTATGTTTACGCATGCATGAGTTTTGATTTTAAATGATTTCATGTTTTTTATCTCATGTATGTTGAAAAATGTGTTATGATGAACATTCTCTAAAGTTTTAATGATTTTTCATAATTTTTAGTTCATCATAATGATTTTGGTCAAAATTGGATTTAAATGCAAATGATATCTCTCTAACAATTGATATCAATTTTCAAAATGTTTTGATTTTAATTTTTTTAAAGTTTTTAACCTAAATTTACATGTTTATGCATGTAATTTAAAAATGAAAATGATATATCTCTAACAACCGATATCAAAATTTTCAAATGCATAACATTTTTGGAAAGCTTTATGCACATGCACTTAATTTCAACAATTAATATTGCATAAAGTTTATTAGACTTGGATATATTGAGTTTCATGTGCTACTAACATGTCTGTTATTCTTTGTCGAAATTCAATTTCTTTTAAGTGTCAAGCTTTTAAAGTCAATATTTTGTTTGTAATGCTATTTTTGAGGGGGAGCCTTTGATTTTTCAAATGTTTTTAAATATCAAATTTATCACTTACTCTCCAATGTTTTTTTAACTTTAAAGTTGAATTATTTTTTTATATAACAAAAAGGGGGAGAAGTATGGGTTTGAAAAATTCAATTTCTCAAAGAAAAAGGGGAGTTGAACATTTTTCAACAATTGACATCTTTTTCATTAAATATTGTATTAAGGGGGAGTTTTGCCAAAAACAAATTTTCAAATGTTTTGTTATATCAAAAAGGGGGAGATTGTTGAACTATATTTTGATATAACAATTTATGAAAAAATGTTTTTGGACTTGAATTGAATTTATTCAAAGTTTTCAAAAATAATTCAAACTCCATTTAACTTGGAATTGAGAACAAAATGTTTTTCTGGACAAGCAGTATCGATACTGTTCTTACAGTATCGATACCTCATGAACAGTACCGATACTGTTCTTACAGTATATATACCTCATGAACAGTAACGATACTGTTCATATGGTATTGATATCAAGGGTAAGGGAAGTACCGATACTCACTAGGTAGTATCGATACTACCAGTATTGCTCAAATTCTAGAATGCAAAAATGGTACCGATACCCAAAGGGGTATCAATACTACTTTACACATTAGTATCGATACCATAGGCATAGTATGGATACCGTCATACCCAACAACTAGTTAACGCCTAGTTTCATTTAAAAATATAATGGAAGTACCTATAGTTCCTATAGGAGTACCGATACCCTCTATTATGGGCAGTTTTGTTTTGCAGAGAAAAATATCCCCAACGGCTCTAAAAGACTCCCAACGGCTAGAAATGGCACAACTTCATTCCAACATACAAATACAAGTTCAAGACACTTGAAGAAGGGTTAGAACACCTATCCAAGCATTCAAACACAAGAGAAGAGTTTTTCATTCCTATTTTACTTTCTGTTGTAAATATTTTGTTCTTGTGAGCTAAATTTTGTAAACACCTTCCTTTTTAGAGGTTTTCTTTGTTTACATTTCTTTTCCTTGTAAAGGGCCTTTGAAAAGCTAGTGAGTCTTGTAAAGGTTATCTCTTTGTCCTTGAAAAAGAAAGAACAAATTAGTGAATTTGTTAGAAAATCCTTAGTGAGGAGCTAAGGTAGTGGAGGTAGCCTTAGTTGAGAAGTCGAACTACTATAAATTGCTGTGCCAAATTTTCTATCTTTTACTCTCCTTACTTCCTAAACAAATTTTTATCAATTTACCCTTATGCAATTTTCGGTTGATCAATTTGAGGCTCTTCGAAAATCCTAACATTCTTCATCATGTATAGATAAGAATGTGAAACATTTTGGATGATTAGACATCCATTTTTTCTTGGCTCAAAGTCATCGTACTAGTCATTGATTATATGGGGTTAAACTTTCCATCCATCCATCTGTTCGTATAATCTTAATACGGGGTATTGTATATTCAAATTATTGAGCTGTTCAATTTTTTTTAGATAAAATATTATATAAAATTATACTTTGTAAAACACGTTTGGTCAATCGTGTTTTTACCATACATGACAATGAAGAGTGCCATTCCAGTAGTTAATTGAAAATGTGCATTTTTAATATTTAATTTTAACATTTTTCTATGGTAATGTATGGGTAAATTGGTAAAATATTTTGGATGGATGTTAAAAAAAATTAGCTGATATAATTGGGAGAATCATTTTTTTAATTAGGGTGGAATGAATAATGCACGATGGGAAGACACATTTTTTAGATGCGGGATTAAACTTTTCATCCATCCATCCATCCATTTGTTCGTACAATCTTAATATGGGGTATTGTATATTCAAATTACTGAGTTGTTCAAATTTTTTTAGGTAAAATATTATATAAAATCATACTTTGTAAAACACGTTTGGTCAATCGTGTTTTTACCATACATGACATTGAAGAGTGCCATTCCAGTAGTTAATTGAAAATGTGCATTTTTAATATTTAATTTTTTGGATGGAGTGTTAAAAAAATTAGCTGATATAATTGGGAGAATCATTTTTTTTAATTAGGGTGGAATGAACGATGCACGATGGGAAGACGCCTGGAACATGACACGTCACATTTTTTTACCAGGAATACACATGGACTGAAATACATCTTCAACTTCATGAAAAAAATACATAGATAATGAAAACGTACGGTGTTCCCGGTGTCTCTTAAAGACACGTAATAATCTTGATATCTTCTTAACATTATAGCAAGTGCCCCTGTTTCAACAAATAATTTTATGTTGGCATTAAATGGGGAATTTTCTTCCACAAAATATTATTCAATCAATTTTGGTTGGGTAAATTATACTATAGTATGCATAATTGCATGCCCCCGTTAGTTGGCATTGATAAAACCATCGCTATCAAAGCATTAAAGCTTCCACCCAATTGAGAACCGATTTTGGTTAGCATACAGATAAGAGGAAAGATGCTTTCCATACCAATATAAATGTCTAACCTGTAAAACCAAACCTACCCCCAAGCACAATACTAGTGCGGCTCTTAAATCATGGGATACAACCTTTTAGAAGCATTGAACGTTCGGGTAGTCGGGTCCGGCGACAGGTACCTGGTCCTTGCCCACGGTTCCGGCACCGACCAATCGGTCTGGCAACGAATCCTCCCACTTTTCACTCCTTCGTTTCGTATAATTCTGTACGACCTCGTTTGCGCCGGGAGCGTCAACCCCGATTACTTCGATTTCAGTCGATACACCACTCTCGATCCCTATGTCGATGATTTACTTAATATTCTCAAAGCTCTCGGCGTTGACCGCTGCGCTTATGTTGGTCACTCCGTCTCCGCCATGATTGGCATCTTAGCTTCCATCCGCCGCCCTCAACTCTTCTCCAAACTCATCCTCATCGGCGCTTCTCCCAGGTAAAAAATTATACAAATAGAATGTCGAATTATACAATCAGAACTAGATAAGGAAATTAGTGGTTTCCAGGTTTCTTAATGACAAAGATTACCACGGAGGGTTCGAGCAAGGTGAGATTGAGAAGGTGTTTTCGGCAATGGAAACGAACTATGAAGCTTGGGTGAACGGGTTTGCGCCGCTAGCGGTGGGGGCAGATGTGCCGACAGCGGTTCGAGAGTTCAGCCGGACTCTTTTCAATATGAGACCGGACATATCATTGTTTGTATCCAGGACGGTATTCAACAGTGATCTGAGAGGGGTACTTGGGCTAGTGAGTGTACCATGTTGCGTGATCCAGACTGCCAGAGATGTGTCCGTTCCGGCTTCGGTGGCAGAGTATTTAAGGACCCATCTAGGGGGACGAACGACGGTGGAGATTTTGAGAACGGAAGGCCATTTGCCGCACTTGACGGCACCGGCGTTGCTGGCTCCGGTGCTCAGGCGAGCCCTTGCTCGGTGAGTTTCCTCTACTTATTTTATGTAGCGTTTATGTGAGTAGGGGGTGGGGACAAGAGGGATGTGGATACGCATGGAATAATTTCTGAAACGATAGGGTTCTTTGGATTCATTAGGATCATTTTGTCATACTCCCATTATCACGACGGTACTTTTGCAAAAGGATAAGAATACCCACGTGATTCTCACGTGATGACGCATTGTTTTTGACCTTTTTATTCTTCTAACCTTTGTTTCTTTTCTTATTTTGTTCTTTTTTTCTTGTAACGCTTGATTTTGCAAAAGTCTTTTCTTTTGATGTTTCCGATTTTATTTCTTTAAATAAATAAAATATTTAACTACAAGTTTAGATCTATAATTTATTTTAGGTTTAATGCAAAAATAAGTATTTAAAGTATACTCAAAGTTAACTTTAGATGTCAAAAAAACTTTTCGTTAAAAATAAGAATTTAACGTTACAAATGTTACCATTTTAGGTGTCTGGACCATAATCATTGTGAAAAGATTTCGTTAAGTGACATGTTCATGTTACTACCAATGTCAATGTCGTCATTGCCATCTTCTTATATGTCATTTTCCTTGTTATTGTTGCACTGTCGGGTCCCGTGGAATCACTCAAACGTTGCATTTTTTCCTCGTTGTCATCGGGTTTAAATTATGATTTGAGGTTCATCGATGGCTAGCTGTAGGGTGGAGGCTCGATTGGGATTAGGTTCGGTCGATGACAATGACGACAACTAAGGGTGGCTATCGGCATGGGTATATGGATCAAAATTAGGATTTTTAAAATTTTTGAGGATTTTTTAAGATTTGAGAAAATTTTAGATTTTTTATTAATTTTTTATATTTTAAATAAAAATTCTCAAAATTATCAGAACATGACACATGTCAATTAACATAATTGTTTTTAACAATGGTTACAATCTGGGCACCTAAAATGATAACGTTGAAAACGTTAGACACCTACTTTTAACGAGAAATTCTTTAGACATCTAAAGTTAACTTTGAATATAATATGGACACTTAATTTTACAACCTAGACACCTAAAATGATAACGTTGAAAACATTAAACTTACTTTTAACGAGAACTTGTTTAGACACCCAAAGTTAATTTTGAATATAATTTGAACACTTATTTTTTACATTAACACTTTATTTGATAACTTAAAAATTATCACAAACAAACTTTCTCTTTATACATGATATTTTTTTTGTTGTCCTCCCGATTGTTAATGCTTTGTCTTGACTAATTCGGACCGATCTGATACGCACACCTAGCTTTGGTGCATCTCCCAACGGAAATTTTCTGCATACACAAGTACTCAATCCCAAGATCTTCTTAAACAATAACAAGTTGCTTATTACTTGAACCAACACCGTTGATAACTTTTTCTTGATACACAAATTTCATGGTATAAGATTTTAAATAATTTTATTAACTGAATTAATTCAAGACATCAACGTACTCAATTATTTTAAATTAATATATTCAAGTTTTTTTGGTTTAACAAACTAATTGTCAAAATTTTATCTGTAATACTGAATTTTTCTTCGTTTATGTATAAAATGACAATGGTGATTATCTTGTCATTGTTCAACAGGGTTCAATGATTGGTGTGAGAGCTTCTTTCTTTTGAATGCACAACAAATAAGGGCACTTAGTGGTTTAGTAATGGAATTTGCTGTAATCTTAAATCTATATCATTGAGCTTGGAAATTGAAGGTATCGAACTTGAATGCAACTCTCAAGCAATTATATATACACATTCCCCAAATTACATTATACAGTTATTTTGAATAAACCCATATCTTCATCCAACTTTATACATTCAATAACTGCTCACCGGCTTCCATTATATATTTTTATTAATTTAACATTATTGTTGGGATTAAAAATTACTTAGTAAAATTTTAACATAAAAATATCAACCATTTAAATTTATTTCTTGGATTGGTATCATTTTATGCCACATAAGATAAATGTCCCTTTTGTAGGAACTGACTTTGAATGCATCATTTGCAAAACGTCTTCTAATGTAGTGGTAATATGTGCACAATTAGGTTAAAATAAAATAGAAAGGAAAATGGATAAAAATATTAAAGTTTATACGAATTTTATTTAAAATGAATAAATGCACATGATATATGTGTACATGCTCATTTTGTCCGGGGATTCCATTCGAGCTTCGATTGAGTTTATATATAATTATACATTATTATTAATTATATTTATGTGCTACATTATTATTATTATTAACAAGTATGAAATGTTAATTACCGTATTACTGTTAATTATATCATATATATATATATATATATGAATAACAAATATTAAATAAAATACTAATTAAATATTTTCCAGGTCCAAAAAATTAAATAGGCCCAAAGTAGTTACAAACGACCCAATTGAAACAGCCAAAACCCAAACCCCAAGCAGTCCAAAGGACAGTCTAGGCCCAAACCCGGATGCATCCCAAGTTGTTAGGGTTTAGAGGAAACCCTAGTTTTCCCCTTCTGCCCAGCCTTCGCTCGTCCTAGCCTGTCAGATCTGGACCCATCCAACTACCCAGATCTAGATCAACTAGGGTTTTTACCCTAATGTTACATCAGTCGCTGTTGTCAATGTACCATAGCTGTTGGATCCGATCACCGATCCAAAGGCCCAGCTTCACCCAAGGACATCAAACCGTTCGGATTCGTGCGTGCATCACACGTGCGCCTCTCCTGCTGCCCCACGCACCCGTGAGTCTGATACATGCACCCATGCCTCGACTGCCATGACTGACCCGAGTGTTTGAAGCAGCTGTTTGTCCCCCTCTGTTGTAATAGTGCAAGACAGTGACCTTGGTTGCCCTGATTGCCAAAAATTGCAATATTTCCTCTTTGTTCTCACATGCAAGACGAAAAAACAAAAAGGAAAATATCAGAGAAAATGATGATTTTCTCCCTTAGCAAATCATGCATGATATCAACGCAACAGAGGATAAGAGGATCATCCTCTTTATCATCGGGCTTGAAACAAATAGGAGGAGAGAAACATAAGGAAAGAGAAGAAAAAGAAGAAAAAAAAGAAAATGAGGGGAGGACTTCTTAAGAGCAAAAATGAAGAGAGTTTTTCGAAAAAACCAAAAAATAAAAAAAAAAAGAAAAAAGGAAAAAAGAGAATAAAAACAGAGAACAAAAAGAGAAAGGAGGGAGACTTACCACCCGAAGTCAAACTTTTCACCACCAGGGAAAGGAGGGGCCGATGAAACCCGAAATTAACCCTTTCATTTCTTTTAGATCTAGGATGATAGAGGTAGTTTTAGGAAAAGTGATGTTTGTTTTCGGGTTTAGGGAAGGTCCGGTGTCGTTTTGAGTGGGTTTTCTATATCTCCGACCGCCGTGTGTGGCGGTGGAGGCCTCCAGTGAGCAGTGGCTAGGGGCTGTCAGCCTCCCCGGCTAGGAGAGGAAGAGAGAGGGCAGAGAAAAATGTTCTTTCCCCTTTTAGAGAGAGAATGAAATTAAAGCAAATGATAATTTAGGCCAATAATGGCCATGGTTTCGAGGTTATATACCCACGTCATGAGATGTCATTTTGGGGAGGACATAGTGTGCATTTTAGCGTGTGGTAAACCCCTCCCCAGGTCCTTTTAACTTTGTAAACTTACGATTTGGTCACTGAAATGATTTTTTATTTGTTTTAATTTGCGTTTTAAGTTTTACCCATGTTCTTTTTAGTCCATTTCTATTGGTTTTTTTATTTTTATGCTTATTTTAATTTGAGTACCCTATTTTAATAATTTCCATTTTAGTTCTGAATATTGATGATGGTTTTATTACAATTCAAGTTCATATTTTGAATGACATTTTTGTTTATGGCAATGATTTTTGTTGGATTTATAGTTTAACCCTTAGAGTTTATATCTTTTCACTCCGGTTATCCATTCACATATTCGATTAATTTCCTATTATTTGCATTTAAGTTTCCTGTATTTATGGTATTTTGTTGAAGTCCTCGTTGGGTTCTCTTTATTGTAAAGGTATATTGTATTGAGATAACATGTTGTACGAGGAATTTATGGAAACACACCTTAACTAACAAGGAGTTCGTTTTTGAGAATTGTTCATACAAGATAATACCCTTTTTTTTCTAATAGGATCATAATTTAAATGTATATTCAAATTTGAAAATTTTAATATTTAGATGATGTATAATTGTATAGGTACCGATTTTGGGCGTTGTGCTGGTGTTCATCCTTCCCCACGCTTAATCGACTCCCGAACCCTTTTTTCAAAACGAGTTTCTGGTTAAACGCAGATCACTTTTTATCTTTTAAAATTATTTTTCTTAAAATTATTTTAAAAGATATTTTTAGGTATTTGGCCTACCTAATCCAAAGGTCGATGAATACTCCAAATTTATTTATTTCTTTTAAAACCCAATGTTTTATAAAATTAAGTTGGATCGCTCCTCGCCATAACCCCAAAAAGCTTAAGGACGGTTCTGACAACTTGGCGACTTCGCTGGGAACATTAGAGAGTGAGGTCGTAATCGATTATACATAATCTTTTTAGTTGAAAATGGTAAATTTGAATGATATTTAAATTTTGATCCTCATATTTTGTGTGCATCGCATCATACATATTTTATTTATTAGTTGTATGTCATCCTTTTAGTTGAAAATGGTAAATTTAAATGATATTTAAATTTTGATCCTTATGTTTTATTTGCACCACATCATACAACTTTTATTTATTAGTTGTACTAATGTGTGATTTACGTGTTTCAGATTTCTGACATTTTTAGTCTGATTGTTTTTGGATCGAGGCAAATGATTGTGAGTTTTCCCCCACTCGTTCTATAACCCTAAATATTTAGAGTATTTTAACTGTGCTCTTTCCCGTTAAGTAGGGGTGAACGATATGCTTACGTGAGAAAAAAAAATTTCTCCGCATGGGCTTTAGCAAGTAACCTTTGGGGTACATATGCCTTGTGTTTACGACTGAAACATTGAGTTTCCTCACATGGACATGGGGAAATGCATCCTCTCGAATTGAACTCGACCCGTTTAAGCCTATAATGGGTGAGGATCGAGGGTCTGGCAGGCCCAATGGGGCACCAACGAAGGACAATTCGAGGACCCTTTTAGTAGTACCGAAACTCTGCTCGTTTTATACTGAAATTTTATCTATGGTTCTTCAAAAGTCACAAATGGGAAACTCACTCTAACATTTCCTAGAAATTATTTATTTA